GCAGAATATAGATATCCAGTAATTAGTAAAATATATAATAATACCATATAGACACTATTCACTCATATTTAATGCATATTAATAGCTGATCTGAGTAGAAATAAAATACTAGTATACATAGATTGATATGATATCAATATATATAGGGAGTAACGACTAGGCCTTCGGAGTTCTGAGTATTCCTAACGGTCGCGGGTTCGATTCCCGGCAGGGGCTATCTGATGTGGGGCTGCAAGTCCCACACAGTAACGATCGACTGAGCAGAGACAGGCAGAACCCCAAACCGACGAGAACAAATAGGGCAAAGCTTGAAGAATTTTTTCTATTTAAAAGAAACAGTTATGGTGGGCTGCCACTATACGCTGAGCAGCGATCCCTCCTCCCTACCTTCCGTGGGGACTTGTGATATATTAATCTTCCCACCATTATGCAGCGAGATGAAGAGGCCGAGTAGCTCATCTGGAAGATACATAAAATTCCCCTCGAGATTGAACCACGCACATCTACTCCTACCCGAGGACCGCGGATCATGCAGAATACAATCTCGTATGAGAGACACCACCCTTTCTTCATCATAGTAGACTCTCTCGCAGCTCTCAGAACTCGATGAGGCCGACGGAGAACGAGAGCGTTTCTTATGACGATGCTTATCGTGCTTCTTCCGAGACTTATCCTTCTTCACAACTTCACCTACGAGCTCACTGATTCATGATTGTCACCTACTGCACCTTTTCCGATGCAAGTGAGCAGGCAAGAATGACAGTGTTACAGACGAGCTTGACTTCGGTCCATCTTAGTCACTTTCCCATTACATTTCAACCAAGATTAACAGTAAGAATTCATGTTAGACACTACAAGAATATATGCCAATCAATACTGACAAGATACCACACAAGTATCTCAATAGGGTCCTCATCTTACCCCTGTCATCGTCGCGATGCCGATGTTTGTGATGACCCTTCTTCCGCCTTGAACGCTCTCTCTGACTCGAATCACTGTCTGAGCGACGGCGACCCATAAGCTCAACTGAAGAGGCTACAATGAGCATTTCGTAGAGCCAGCAAATTCGTATGCAGATTTTTGCTATGCGGCAGTTGAGTGAAGTTCTCGACTCTGAGATGCCCGTAATGCAGACCAATGTGAAGTCTCTATAACGCAATGCCAAAGCCGGATATGACTGAGTTACTTCAAACGCCACGTCGATGATGAATCATCGAATGACAATGGGGTGACCGAGCTGACTGGGTCAGAAAATCTCATCGGAAGTCACACACGAGACTAATGGCAGCTACTACGCCAAATATCGAAATGAGCAGAAGTTGAGTATACGGATGATACCAAAAAAACCCGGACCGTCGACAGCCGGACCGGGCGATCCCTTGAGAAGTCCGTCAAACCTACTGTTCATATTACTTCAACCTACTAAATACAAAGAAAAAATGCTGAGTCTTCAACTACCATAAAATCATTAAGAAAAAATATACCTCGCGAATACCGGTGATAGATTTCCCAGCAGTCGGCATCCGCTTATTAGGGATCATACTTAGAGAGAGAATCAACAAGCGACTCATTAAGGGCCTTCGAATCGAAGCCACTGTCAATAAGAAAGCTCAGACATGATAGTATATCAGCCACAGCGACAGTGCGCACGTGGTTTTCGACAACACTAGCAGCGACGGACTCAAGTATGGCGCGGTTCATAGAATCAGAGATGTGACAAGCGTAGGGAGTAGTGATATCTGAGCTATTGTGGCTCTGAGGCGTAGAAGGTCCCAAAGAAGAATGTGATAGAGGCAACCAGAGCAGTGGCTGAGAGCGATCGGCTGAGGGATTGGACTCGTACGATTCAATACGGAGACCACCAATACTGTTCGCAGCACGACTCGTAGCAGCGTCCGAGGACTTCTTGGTGCTCTTCGGTTGAGGGCAGCCGTGATAAAGAGAGAGAACATAGTCGTTATTAAGATCGACTCTATTAGAGCCAGCGAGTCGGATACCAGACACGACCTCTTCATGAGAGTGAGCGTTACGACAACCATCGCCCAAGTTGCAGCCATGAGAGCTACCGAGGTACTTGCAGAGCCTCTTGATCACCGGCATCGGGGACTTTTCAAGCTCGGCTTCGTCGTGGGCGAAAGGACATGGCTTGCGACCACAACAGTATCCGGCCTTAGAAGGGCATAGATAGGACTTGGGACGAGCTAGTTGGTAAGGCGAGTGGGCAAATGGACACCTATCGCCGTCTAGACACCCTTTCCCGCCAGCTACGTTGTACACGCAAAATCGAGAACGAAATCTGACGAAGAACAACAATGGACACCTACGAGAGCACGTCGATGCAACTCACCTGTGAGCGGGATGGTCTGTACTAGCAGTAGAAGTGGAAGCTGGGGAGCACACGAGTTGAGGGGAACTGAGCAGCCCAGGAGAACTTGAGGGGATGGTGCTGCTGACGAACGAGACCGGGTTAGAGTCGCGGTGGTACATCAGGATTTTGGAAATTGCTGAGATCGAATATCCTTCTCCGACGCGAGAAAGGAATGAATCCGGACTCGGGAGAAATCGTGACACACATAAAGCGACACCTCATCGCATGCACTCGCCTACCAACATTGCGAGGGGAACTAAAGGAGTTGGAAGAGAGACTAAGATCGCAAGATAAACCATTCTACAGTTGGGCGCAAACAGATTCTCTCACTGGCTCTATAACTCAGGGAGCCTTCTTCGAGGAAGGAGCGCTTCCATACAACTGTGGAGGGTTCCTTGAAGTAAGGAGGCTAAGAATGTTACGTGAGGTGTACCTCCTCTACCTCACGCTCTGACTGGAAGGACTCAGGTGAACTCAATCACCTCGGTGATGACATCGATAGTGGTTGTGGTACTTACGTAATATTCACAAGGTCTTATACCTCGCTCTATCAATTTCATAATAGTAGGCACATAAACGCATAGCGTTTCCCCTTTTTATGCTATGAGAAGCCATGCGCTTGCGTGCCGCATGGTGCGGTCCGCTGCACGCATGAACAACAGCAGTGAATGGTGGTATCATCAAACTGAGTATGCAGCTCAGGTGAGCTGGGATAATATGCGGCGGCACATAGTAGTGTTGAACGACGTGGTACAACGCGCCCCTTACCAACAGACATTGTTGTCGCGAAAAGGAAAGAGGGAAAGGGGATAGAAGGGGTATTAGCTCGTCTCCTAAGATAAGGTTCTTAATGGAGGAGGCTACGGAACTGTACTTCGGAACACTTAGGAGCCGCTCCTTAGGGTCCTTGAGCAAATAGCCTTAGGAGCGTGAGGTTTGTCGGACTCGGTTTACCCCTGTTTTACGAGGCCGAAACGGAGAATTTCGGCCAGTGACCGAAATGGCAACTATGGGGATGAGTTATGGAGGAATACCATTACGAAAGATCCTCTTTCTGTTGATTCATAGCACTAGTTTAGGCGCAAAGTTGTTGATGTACTTCCCTAGTAGAAGTTGGTATTTTGAGGCGCGATTTTGACGCGTGCATGCTAAGAATACGTGGAGAAATTTCTCTATCACTTTTCAATTTCTCATTAACTTCGAAGTGCCGAAGGCTAGAAATTGACAGGCCGAAAATTAAATGACAGAATCTGAAGAACACAACGGGAGTATCAAACGTTAGTGGTACGAATTTAGTGGAGGAACCTGTAGAAATGAAGGGCGAAAAAAGAGCTAGTGATATGCACTTACTAAAGAAGTGAGGATACAAATACACTCACAGGGAAATGGGATGTGCACTTTCAACTCGACACAAACAATATTGATATAACATTGAAAAATTTCTTTATTCTGATATGAGTATCAAAAAGTTCGAGATTGCTGAGATTCCCCCACAGGCTGAAGACAATTGCCAGCCAAGTCCCGAGCAGAGGCCAACTCGAGTAATAGAGTAGGTAAGTATATGCGTCCAACGGAATGGTGCAGATGGCAATATCTCGACTCGCACGAAATACGCATGTGATTTCCGCACGCAATTACATCCGAGTAACAGAGATCGAAGAAATTGAGATCTACAATGAGAGAGCAGAAGGACGCATACGAGCGACTATCTGTTATTGAACGCTGATCATCGATAAACGCCCGTAGAGAACATCACAATTAGAATTATTAAACCATAATAAAAGCATCCATAGAAGAGCACATCACGGGTTCGAGTACAGAATCGTTACAGTCGGTGAGATCAGTGGGTTGGAAGCAATAGCTATCATCCTTGTGATAAAGACCGAAGCATACTCCGTTGCTCTTACAATATGAGCCATGCTTTGAATGAGCACAAGACATCAAATTATCACATATACGCTGACAATATGCCGCCACATCATGCTTCAAGGCGTCGGTTACATAAATACTTCGACCGTTCAATGGCTGTACATCTCTGTAGTTAGGCGCGATGATATCTCCATTGGGACCGACAATAGACCTGAGCGCCTCCATCTGATTTTTGCTTACAGTCATTGTCGTCTTCGCCACATACCAGAGGAGATTCTCGTCACAGGTCGGTGTAGTGAGAGAACCATCATAACTGAAAAGCTTAGTCCGAGCATCTTCGGGAATTAAAGCATTCAAATTAATGGAAGGAACATTATCGTTGCCGCTGTTGATGGCATCGAGGATCTTCTCAATCTCTTTGTTAGCTTTGCCGATTTCGAAGAGGACCCCAATCACAGCCAAGCCACCGGTCTTCCCTTTAGCGTCGCCGACACTGCCATACTTCAGGTTGTAATGGACGAAGTGAACCTCCATCGAGTAGGACACGCCTTCGAATAGATGCTCGCTGCCGAACTCATCAGTCAACCCCCAATGAGCGTGGAATTGGCTCAAAATGAAGATGTCACTATCATAGTCGCGGACGTTACCAATTGTGTACCTTATCTCGTCATCATTGACCACCACATCGATACCATGATCAGAAATACTCAAAGGAGCATTATCGACGATATCGTAAATGATTTGTAGGTCATCCATTCTGACCGATTGATCGATAGCACCGGTCTCAATGGATATCGGCGATTGAGATTCGCCAATTGTACACATACCAGGCCACGAATTCTGGTCATCGTAGGTCCAATGGGCGCCATAGGCTGCGACATATGATAGGATCATAGCGATAGGGACGATCATGTAGCTTCTCATCATTAAATTGAACGCTAGCAGACAAACCAACTAACAGGCGTCGTAAATCGGACGAAACTGGACCAATACCTCGGAAACAGAAGAGGACTACAATAGACATTCACCCTCTTGGAGGAAGTGCCGCAAGTTTGTGAGTTTTATTTCGTGCATGAAACCGGTTGAGGCACCGCTCAAAACACATTCGACACAAGGAGGTATCGAACTAAGCTTAGCGGTCTCTTGTACAGGAGCCTAGACGGTTTTGTCCTCACGTGCTCTCAAACTCGTATCAGACGAGATATCTTTGGTCCCTTCTTTAAGACGTTACGTTAGATGTCCCAAGGTTGCTCTTATATTAGTATAGTATTGCATCCTATATAATCTACAACTTCTGGACGTTTTGCTCGACTAGATATCCATGTAAGGATAAGGTCACCTTATTGTGGTGTGAAGCTCCTCGCGCCTTGCTCCTGAAGTTGAGGCGCATCTCGAGAGGCTTCATGCGAGATCGCCTATCTCAGATAGGCCCTACAATCGAGTCATGCCCCTTCGCAAGTAATGAGGGGAACAGGTAAGCCCTCTAGACAGCACAGTAAGGAATATAATACGAGGGCTACACTGTGCATTGTGTGAGGAAAGCCAAGACTGGACGAATAACGGTCAACGGGGTCGCGTGCAGAAGCGGGACAACCGGGGCTTGGCGCTTGCGTCACATAGTCGTATGTGACGCAGTGACCATATAACTTTCCAAGTTAACTACAAGTATAACTGCAAGTTCCAAGTTAAAAGCCACTTCCTCGAGAAAGGAGCTTGTTGTTGTAACTCTGGGGTCTTAAGACCGTAATGACATTCTCTTCTATCTCGCTTGTTTTCCGGGCACGGCTCATTATAACTCGGAGACAAGATATTCGGCAGTGGGTCTCCTACTGTATGAGGGACCAATCGTGAGCCGAACCTCGATAATATCGATATTCATTCGGGCAAACTCTGTTATACAATACGGAGAATTTTCGTATTTGTAAAGTGAACTTGCGTTATCTGCTTTGCTCTTGTGTGTATCAGGCTGATACTATCAGCCGCTGCGTTGCTATACACAAGCACAACAGCAGAAGTCGAAGGAAATATAAATTGTTGTGAATTTGCACTTTTTTGCTTTTTGCCCTGCGACGGAGCCTTCCGGTGGAGCCTGTGTTGTCCGTGCCTTGTGATCTCTTGAAAATCTTACTATTCCTGTTCGCAGAATCGCTGTGTGGTTCTTGAGCCGCGGCATAAATCTTTTCGGTGTACCTGTTACGAGATCAGTCCTATCCTGGTCCTATCCTAACTCGGTTATACTAGTGTTATCTCAATACCCTTATTAGGAATAGTTCAGCACCTGTCTCCAGCAGCCTCCGCCCACCAAGTATATCTTCCCCAGACTCATCACTGGCAAGGACCACACTCCAGCCCCAAGACGCTACAGGTTGAATACGGGGACCACCAATGCTGTTTGCGCGGTTCGCAGCAGGACGGGGAGACTCCTTGGTTCTCTTTGGAAAATAACCGTGAGAGAACATAGTCGACATTAGGATCGAGCCGATTGTATCGCAGGAGCTCCTTATGCTGTTCTTGTGATATAGAGTTTCCTGTAAAAGTTCACAGAACTGATCAAGGCTCACATTGTGAGCCTTGCACGTGAGAGGCACGGTGAGAGATTCTATACCAACTAAACTATTTGGTATATCCGCAATGTCCGCGGCCTCACATACATTAGCAGGGTCCTTACTGTGAAGATATAAACTCGGCGCTCGGGTTGACATGAATGCTCCATTGTAGCGAACAAGAAAGACATAGTGATCCGATATATTAAGGGAGTCAATTTTGCAAGTAAGGGCACAATTTCATGATTAACGGAAACAATTCCGCTGGTGAGAACATCAGTAACTGATGATCAGCTCCACTCGTCTAGGAAAGTTCAATAACTCTATAAGGCTGATAGTCGCGGCTCGAATATGAGACTCTAAATAAATGAACTAGCTAGCGAAAAGGGTCATGGCAGAGCATCTCATCGAAAGTCCCTCG